GACCTAAAACCTCTAATTTAATACAATTATCACCTCATAAAAATAATACATTAAATAAATTAAATAATTATTATTTCAGTTAGGTAATTAAATGGTATTTATTTTAAAGACACAAATTATTGTTCCAAATAAAATTTATTTAATTGAAATTAAAATTATTTAGTTCAAGTAAATATTTATTTAATAATAGTCACAAGTAACCAATTATTTGAATCAACTTTTTTTTCCAGGATAACATAATAATTACAAAATTTTTGAAGACTAGAAAAAAAATTTTTGAACTTGTTTTTATTTCAATTTGTCTAAAAATATAGACCCTATTTCAAAATAAGATACAGAACCAGGAAATTAATTTCACAGTGTGACTGATATAGTACGAAAAAACTGAAGCAAAAGAGAGCAAAAAATATTTTTTTTTTTTCAAGGTTAGAGATGATCAAGTAAATTACAGGAAGTCCCTAACCAAAATTTCGTCAGACATCTAGTATAGGTTAAATCAACAAGAGACACACAAACGCATCTGAGTTTGAATCTTGAACACGATTCATAAGAAAAGACGATATTAACACAAGAGTAGCCACCGGTCTTTAGTACAACACAAACCATTATAATATTATAACGACTGCTTTAAAAACCTGTTTAAACTACACCAAAGATATCTTTCTCTTCAAATAATAAATTCAAATCTGAAAAAAATGAACATAATAATAATACAGAAGTAATGTTTGCAATGAATACGAAGAGATTTTAATTTGGAATTCTAAAGTGCGTAAAAGTCTTGTGCGGTATCTATATAAAATGGTCGTTAATTTCTTCAACTCACGTTTAACATAAAATATCACTTTTCGATAGAAACTCGTTTTTTCAATCTCTCTTATATATAGAGAAATATTTCAAGTATTTTACAATTTTAAATTATCGGCGCGTTTAGGCAAATCTTGATTATATATATATATATATATATATATATATATATATATAAAACTCAAGTACGAAATGATCCATCATAGTAGTTAAAGAGATGTCGTTATGTGAGGTCTATTTGAATAAAACATATTTGTAGAATAGTACATGGCTACTGCTTTGGAAGAAACATATCATCAGACACAAAAAAGGAGAACACGCGGTGTGTGCGTTGATAAACAAAGGTACATCGAAACCGTTTAATTACTGGAGACCGAAGATTAACTCTAATGGAACGATGCTGTTTCGAGCCTCGAGTTCTTGTTGCTGATTGGCCGCAGGTTCCTACCTGGCGCCTACCAGGCTAAATAACTTTTGAGTTTAATTGTAGCACACACGTTATCGGACCGAACGGTTCTTTATTGGACAGCAACGTCGTCACCAGTCCTTTGGGGGCATTCCTTTTAAGCGTCGAGCATTAGTGACTACTTCTTTTTTTTCCTTAAACAAGGTAAACGTATTATTGACGCCACGATAAAGCCACCCAAATACCGAGGGTGTTTAAAAAGTTGAAAAGATTCAACGATATGGTAAGACCACATGATTTCGTTATATACAACAAACAAAAAGAAAAATAAGATAAAAGAAGAACAACTACAAAGAAAAGATAAGGAGAATTTAAAAGTTTCAACAACAAAAAATAAGAAACAATGTCAATAAAATAAAATAAAGAAGCAAAATTATAAAGTGAAACAGTGTGTTTGGAAACTCTTCGTATATATATATATAAGAAAGATCGTGCGGTAATTGCCAGTAGCCACTTGAGGGAATAGACTTTTTATTTTTATCGATTAATTAAAATCAATTCATTGCACTCCGAGTAATATTAATTTCAATTAACCTTGATCTGATCGAGTATGCAAAAGATACGTATACATTTTTTTCCATAAAGAGAGAGAGAGAAAAAAGAAGAGTAAGAAAGAAAAAGAAGCTCGCAGCTGTCGAGTTTTGCCATTTATGTTTAAAGCATGTACCCATTTTCGCGATAAGGGTAAAAGTTGAAGATATAGAGACGGTAGTTTGGATTTCCTTACGGAGCAACTTGCGTGACAACCGCTCGGCCATTTTGCGGTGTCCTAATAGTTTTAGAGCTAGGAAGCAGACAAAAGCAGACAAGCCACCCTTCGCGACCAACACACCCCTTTTCATCCCCTCCACTCGTCACACAACCCCCAAGCTAACAACGACGCCGGCGCTCCTTAGCGACGAATCTAATTAACTTTATTACATTTCTCTTCTGTTTTCCACCCTAACAACACGACAGTCATTTTCCCACTTCTCAATATCAGATCTTATATATACGATATCTAACGAAAAAAGTCTCAAAAAATATATTTATTTAAATACTCATTTTCTTGTGCAAAAGTATAAATGTTTGATAAATTTTTTTAGAGATTTATATAAAACAAAAAATAAATGGAATAATATGTGTATATTTATAAACGTGAGAGATTTAATTGTATAATATTTAGTTCAATCAATAATGCATTTGATTAAAATAGCCAAATGTTTTTGCCAATACATAATTATTTTTCTCAATAGGTCACAAAATGATTTCATTTACTTTTCCATCTTTTATTGAATCAATATTATATAAGTATAGCTTTAAAATTTATTTTTTGTTAGAAATGATATTTATTTATCCACACGAGAAATAATATTTACTTCCAAAAGGGAGAATATTCATTAGAATTTCGTCAAATTTTTTGTTAAAATAACAATTATTTAAAAAGAAAATCTCATCAAAATTAAATTCGATTAATTGAAAAAAAAATTTCAATAAAATTTCTTGTAACTTCGTAGTTTTGTCGTTTTTGAATTTCCGAATAAAAAATGTAAATGACAAAACTTAAAAAGTGGAAAAAGGCGGCAACAAATGAAAATCTTGCTGTCTGTGATGAGGAGTTTGAATCTTTCTTTCATTTAACTACACCTAGAGAAATATTTTATTTGAATTAAATATAATACATTTGAGTTAAATAAAATTTTTTATTTAAATCAAATAAAAATTTATTTGCATCATTAATAAATACTTATTAGGCTGTGAGACAAATATAACAATTCTCTGGGTGTATACACGGAGAAAAAAGAATTGTTGTGGTTATTAAAAATTAAGTCCACACAACAATTCCGGATTGTAAATATAGAACCAGCAGTTCTATTTGTTGTTGGGACAAAAAAAAATTGTTAAAATGGGATTGTCATTAAAACTATTCGGATTGTTCGGTGAACAAACAGAATTGTTTGATGAACAAAGAAAATTGTTATGGAACAGCTGAAATAACAAAACTAAATTGTTAAATCGGCAATACAATTTGTTGTATTAACAAAGCTTTGATCCGTCTAATACAATTTGTTTACTTTCTTCGCGTTCTAAAATAATAATCGATAGCAGATTTGCGTAGGTCATATCACCAGTTTCATTTGCATTAAAATCTGTGGAACATGAAACTTCTGAATCAAATTCTTTGACCTGAAACCAAAAAATTATTTTCAGTTGAAATTTGTTGTTAAGTAATATTAAATATACATTTTGTATTTTTTAAGGTGAAGTTATGTTCAATAGTAACCGAGTATATAACTTACCGATAGACGATGAAATTGTCTCTTATTCACTACACTTGCAATAAATTTCTCACTTTAACCGGATTCATTATTTAACAGCACTTTGTCATTTAAAAAAAAATAATAATAAAAGCAAAAGTGGCCAATGTGCCAGAAGCAAACGACGCGACGATCTGCACGACAGTTTGCGAGAATTCAAGATGACCACGTGACATGGAACAATAAACCTGTCAGCTAAACAAATCCGGATTGTTCCATCAGCAATTGACAGAGAGTTTGCTTCTGCAACTGTAGGGAATTACAAACTGAACAAAACTGACAACAAAATATTCGTATTGTTGTTAAAACAACATATATTTGTATTGACAACAATCCGAATTGTAATATTAATATTTCGAATTGTAACATCAACAAATCTACTGACAACAATCAAAAAATTGTTTGCACAACAATCCCATTTTTCTCCGTGTATTTGTCTCAAAATAGACATGTATTTGTTGCAAATAAATTTTATTTGATTTAAATAATCCGGATTATTTAAATCGCCTGTATATATTTTTTTTGGTTTTGTCAAAATCACAGAAAAAACTTGGACTCATTTTTGTTGCAACTCATTTTCTTTTGGGTATCGAAATGAGTATGGGACAAACTTCATGTTATTCAAAATGATATTGGCTGGAATTTCAGATTTCTAAGTTGGCATCATAAGCAGAGTAATTTTGTATTTCAATTATTGTTTCTAATATTTCAACAACACCAGAAAGATTATTTTGACCAGTACGAATATTTAGAAGTTTTTAAATAAAAATTATTTATTATTATTTACGTAGATAATAATTAATTTCATAAGTTTTTAAATTTACCGCTATTATTTAAGTTGGCAGTACCGTTCCTGTTGTCAAAACACATGTTTTCATTTTTCTAACCTAAAAACATATTTCCTTTATTATTTTATTACGCGATTACAAGCAATTTTTAATCAAATATATTAAGTCTAGCGTGTTATTTACTTCTTTGTAATTATTATATTTCATGTTTTTGTGCAAAATTATTCGTTATTTCACAATATTTTTCCATTTTTCTTTTTCTCAAAATGAAACTTGCCTGTTTCATTTTGATACTTTTACCTTAGAACTCGAAATGAGACAACCAGTTTCATTTTTGTTGCGAATCAAATTGAGTATAGAATCTATACTCAATTTGAATTCAGGTTTTTTCTGTGATACATTTTTTGTTTAACAGGTCAAAAACTACAAAGTTACAGGAAGTTTTATCGAATCCTTTTTTTAATTTATTTTGGAATGGGTCCTTTTCACTAGTTTGAATTCGAACTTTAGCAACCATTATCCTATCTATTTTATTTAGTAATTACTAAGGAAATTCTAAAAATGGCTCATTAAAAGCAGTATATTTATAAATGAACTAAAATTCTAAATAACTATTTTCATTGTTTTTTTTTTTTAATGTTTCAGGAGACAAACGGCCGAAGAGAGAGAAGCAGAAAGACAGGCGGCAAATCGTTTAATGCTGTCGTTACAAGCGGAAGCTTTAGGAAAAGTTGGATATCCAACTTCAATACCATCTCATCCATCCAATACATCTGTCCCTAATCTCGAAGGCCAACAGGCCCCTCCACCATTAGCTCATCCCGTGGGTCAATGGGCCTCACCATACGGTCCACCCCAACCTCTCACTGATCCTATTTGCTGAGTGTAATGAAGAAGCCATGTAAATTTAAGTTTCACATTATTATACGAGCTCTAGTTTTTGCTTCTTTCTGAGAATTCGTTCGCAAAGGAAACATTAAACAATGAATATTCCGCAAGAACTCACTGTATATAGATGTACCGAGAGTTCCTCGAAGACTTAACGCTTAACTTGAACCACGAACAGAATCAGATAATCACCTTCTCTCGTTCAAGGAAAGGAAAAAAAAATTATATACATATATATGTGTGTCAGTGAAAAAAGTTGAAAATAAAATTAGTTAACAAGAATTTTTGAAACGCGTCTTACAAAATTGACTAAGAGGACATGTGAAAAAAAAATTTATTATTTTTCAAGCAGGAATCAAGAATGACATTAATTTTTTAACATATATTCAAATCAATAAAACTAAATTATGAATATAATTTCAAAATAATATGATCTCAGAATAAATAAAATTATTATGAGCGGAATATTCAAGTTGTCTGATTGCCAAAAAAATGACGAAGCTTGACAGTCTCGACTGCTGAGTTGAATAATGTAAATATTTCTTTAAAAAGTGTTGTGATTCTGTTAATGTTGATAAAAGTAGAATTTTGTATTTTTTATTAATTTTCGTGAATTGGAAAAGTATATATATATATATATTTGAAGACTATGTCAAGAATATTATTTTGTTAACGAAGAAATAGAAATTTTTCTTTGTATTTTTCATTTCAAAATGGATTTTTACTGTGAAACAGATATGTGAAAATCACTATAACACACACACACACACATAACATATCTTTGTATATATATAAAAAAAATTAAGTTAAGATCTGCTTATAAATATAAGCAACACATGCTTATTTTATCATGGAAAATTTATTAATTCTACCATGGTGAGTCTGTATGAGCATATATCCTGTACATAATTACTGAAGGTACGAGTCAGATTATAATCGTAACGATGATACTATTTGCGATACATTGCATCGTTACTGTTATTGACATATAATTATATTAAATATTTGAATGGAACGAAGCTTGTATTCTGCGTTAAGAATAATCCTAAGGCTACCGATCTTTAATGAACTATGTGATGTTATGTACCTATACTTGTAATGTGTAAATATAGAACAAAAATGAAATGGACATAAATGATCTATACTAGAAAAATATATGTCTTATTTATCAATTCCTGACAATTTTGTTAAAAAATATAATTATAATTATTATTTATTAAAAATAAATCACTAACCTTATACTCTGCATCCGATGTATATATTTCGGACGATAAGATGTACTGGAAACACACGCGATTTAAAAAATTTCTAACATTCCTGATATTTAAATGAAAAAAACAAAATACTTTTTCTAAAGATTTAAGCGATCGCGATTTTAAGAATTTCGAACACTCCCGAAGCTATTTTATTTTAAAAATTATAAAATTTTCACTAACGGTTATAATGATGTGCAATATATAACAGGTCTATACACAAATTACAACTGATGAAATTTCCTTTGGTATTTCCAATATTCCAATTTGTCTGCAAACTGTAAATGGAAAATATAAAAGTCAGTTTTATTAATTATTACTAAAAAAAATAAATTTAATATTATGTAATTTAAAATAATAATATCAACCCTGATAGGAAAAAGTCATGGCGCTAGCTAGCACTGCTGGATTACATAAGCGCCATGAATTTTTTCTACTAGGGAGTTACATGTAAATAAATTTGTCATTGGAACGGCTTAAAATAAAATACTTCTTCTTTTGATTGATTGATTTTTTTATTTCGTTAATAATTTTGATTATTTTATGGTATTAATTTAACCTGCAAGGCTTTATAATACCTCATATTTCACTGTTTTCATAGAATTTGATTTTTAATGTTAATATTATTTATTTATATAATTTAGTCTCAAGATATATATTTAGATTTTCCCTGACTATATGGATCATGATTTTGTTTGCACGAACGAATTAAAAAGTATGGAAACCCAAACATAAACTCAAAACTGAAAAATAGTTTTTAACGCAAATAAAAAATTTCAAATAATTTTACAAGATTTACTTACACACTTTTCGGAAAAACTTATGTTGAATTAAAATCTTTTGTTAAATAATTATGTTTTTAATATTTTGACTTTTCTCTTTTTTTATTAAATAATTATTTAACAACTGAAAAAAGTTTACGATTGTAGAGAATGCATAACTAGATCTTCAAAAATTGTTTGAAAATATTTTTTATTAAAGTAGTATAAGGTGCTCCTACTCTAAAGGTACACTTTCACCAGTTGGCTGCCTGCAGAAGTTGTCATGGCAACGTATAGGAGTAATAGAGATAGTCAATTCAAATTTGAATTTTCTCTCTCTTACTCCTTTACGTTGCCATGACAACTCCTGCAGGCAGGCAGCCACCGGGGTGTGAGTGCGTCTTTAGTTAGCGATACTAACGCTCTTGCGGAGAAACTGTTGCAACTCAGGTGAGAGATGAAGATTAAATACAATTTTCAGTTTTGAGGTTATGTTAGGGCCTCCATACTCCTTAAACTATAATCTTTAACGAAACAATTCCTTCTGTATGAGCATTTCAATTGAAGTAAAAAAAAAAACGCAAAAGGCATGGTCCAATAACAAATATAATAAATAAAGTGTTCCTCTAGCAAAAAATGTACCTAATCAATATCTAAAAGCGTCAGTTATGAAAGGAAACGAAAATGGGAAAGTATAGCAGAGGTTCAAAGACTTTTCTGATAATAAAAGTCTGGACAAGGACATCGTCGTCGGTTTCTTTCGATTCCGGCAATTGTTTTATTTCCTCAGAATGATCCTATATACTTCTCCTAGAGCTCGAATGTCGTGGGGTCTTCGCTTACCGGATGTGGCTACGTTTACTGCCGATAATTGCAGAGAAGATACCAAGCGCCGTCCTGCCCAATTATTTGAGGACAAATGCCGACCGAATGAAGAGAGAATGAAAGTTATCTTTCTCTCTCACACACTCTTAGATGGATGAAGGCGCGACAGGATGCTGACACCCCTTCCAAAGATTCTAGATCACTAGACCACCTATATAAAAAAAAGTCTTTCTCTCCCTTTACTGTCCACTTACTTAATACTTTGTCCAACAAAGCTTATTCGGTTCGTCAAACAGTAGTTAACTTTTCTCAGAGAGGATATCTCATCTCTACTACTTATTGTGCAGTGAAACTTAAACCATTTGGCTAATAACATTTTAGCTGTAAATTAAATTTTCTTATTCAACAAGTTCACTACTAGAGTGACAATGACAAAATAAATGTCTAAATGTTGTATATTATAAAGAATGTTTTCTTTTAAACAAATTTTTTTTTTTAATATTTCAATTATATTTTTAAATTATTCTTTCTTTATTAAAAATTATATTAACTTTGGAACAGTAAAAATTTTTTTTAATTTTAAAATCGAATATTTCCAAACTTTTTTAAGGTCATGTGATTGTTATTAAGGTTTTCTAGCAAAATATTTAATAGATTGAGCTGAAATTTTGTGGAGAACTTGAAAATAGTATAAGGATTCGGTATCATAATAATATTTTGTCAAAAAATTTATTTTAAAAAAATTACATATTTGGAGAAATGACTAAAATCGTAGGTAGGGGAAAAAATTTTGCAAAATAAATTTGCCAATGCAAAATTTCCAAAATTATTAATTTTCCAAACCACTAATTTCCAAAAGTTCTTTTTTCCAATGAACATTTTTTCCAAAAGTTCTTTTTCTTTATTTATCGGGATTTTAGGTGCAACTTCATGTTAAGAAACAGTTAAATTCTAGTTTAAATTTTTTAGTTAAATTTTAGTTTTTATTATTTAAAATGGCAGAAATGATTCAAGTTGGAAAAACGATTTACTTACATGCCGATGGCTATTTATATTATAAACATTCGAATGGAAAAGCTAACGTTAAGTATTGGAAATGTCAAAATACCGAATGTTCAGCACGAGCAGTAACAATCATTTGCGGAAACACAATAACGGTACGCAAAGGCTGCAAGCCTTTGAAGATCACCCTGATCATGCTCCGAATCGAAAGTAAAGAACAGGAAGCGTATCTAAAAATTTTTCAAGTTACCCAAGAATTGATTGAAAAATTTAAAATTCACTTTATTCTACCACAAATTTTAATGTCTGATTTTGAATTGGCCATTATTAATGCTGCAAAAGCTACTTTTGGAGACATCGTGCTCTGTTGCTTATTTCACTTGTGTCAAAGCGTATTTAAACGAGTACAGAATGAGGGACCACAAAAAAAAATACAATGATGAGAATGATCGAAGCATTAAGGGGGGAACACCAGTTGTAACTCAAAAAATAATGCTTTTTTCAAGAATATTTTCCAAAAGAACAATGAATCTTTTTAAAGAATACTATTTATTAGTTAAAAGTACATGTAAAAAGCTGTAATTTAAAAGAAAAAAAAAATTTTTTTAACAAAAACTTTTGGAGATATGAGCCATTGAAGTGGCGTCTTAAGAAAAAAGGCGAATTGCGGTGACCAGCATTCTGCAAGTATACTTCGTCTGAAATACAAAAATGAAATTGATTTACATTTATTATAAGATTATCTAGTTCGTGATCGAAGGATTTAAAAAAAAAAAAAAATTTGACAAAATGGCGACCTGTCAAAGTCAAAAGTATGATTTTCGTTAAAAAAATACGGTCGATTTTCAGCTATATAAAAAAAAGTTTTGCATAAAAAAAAAAATCCTTCGATCACGAACTAGACTTATATGTGTAAATGAAGCACACTAAATTTTAAATAAATCGGTTTAATGGTATTCGAGTAATCGTGGTCACCGACTTGGAAAATGTCATTTTGAGAAAAACGCATTCAAAGTTTCAACTTACTTTTTTTTGTTCAGAAGAAATTTTGTTTCCAAGTTACAAAGAGTCATCGATTCTTGGACCATATAATAACTCTTCCGCAGTGGTTGCCGTTTCTAAATCATAGGAAAAGGCCATCTGTCGTTAGGGTCAGTTATGGCTGGCCACCTTGTATGAAGCCACGGGACGCGCCGATGCAGTGTTCTGTATATCTCATTTATTTTTCACCGGATCAACTTTGAAATTTACAGACACATTTCTAAATATGTGTACTTTAAGAAAATGCACAAAAAAAAAAATTGATTTTTCGAAAGTTACAACTGGTGTTCCCCCCTTAAAGAGGCTACACAGATGATGTGTGCCTTAGCGTTTGTTCCGTCAGATACAGTACCTGAATACTTCGATATATTGTTCACACTTACCAAAAATATGTTGACGATAACGACATTCTAGGATACTTAAAAGCCATCGGCTACCATCTGCATTTTTAACGAGATTCTTTTAATATCTTTTTTTGGAACTTTTCTATTTTGGAATTTTTATATTTTGGAACTTTTGTACTTTGAAATTTTTGTACTTTAGAAAAAATATACTTTGGAGTTTTCAACTTTGGAAAAATTTTTATGGAAGTTTTGGATTGAAACTTTTTTTTATTATTAATTCTCTGGTACATAACATCGATTCCTTATACTATTTTTGAGTTCTCTACAAAATTTAAGTATTTTGCGAAAAATAACCTACGGAGAATAATTTTTTTTATTGAACCACGTGCTTTAAATTTACAATAAAAATTAAAAAAAAAAAAAAAGAAAAATTTAGTTCTGCATCTAACTTATTTATATAATGATAAAAATACCAGCAAATAATCCTTAATTAATCATATATATGGAATAAGTTGATTCACAATAATAGTCAATAATAGAAAAATATAAAAAGAATCTATTAACTATAGTTTTTTCATTTGAGAAAACTGACAATTAGAAAAGTTAAAAATAAAATGAAATAAATATAATTTTTAAAATATATATAAGTATAGTAAAAAAAATATTGAATTGTTAAATTAATTATCATTACTACTGTTACAAAAAACAAACAATTTAAGTATAGAAACAAAAGACTTCCTCTTTGTGAAAAAGAAATTAAAGGTTAATGGAGAAAATATGTCTTGTTCCGACCAATCAAAAAAAAAAAAAAAAAAAGTTAGGCGACGCAAGATTTGAAATTGCCATCGGTATTTACGATAGTTTAGCTGCCAACGCTCGGCGCGTTTCCTGCCCTGTAATCTTGCCGGAAAGACCCTTTTG